AAATAAATAAATAAAAATTTAGAAAAAAATAAAAAGAAAAATCAACACTGAGTACTATGTTAAGTGTGACCCTGACTTAAATTTTCAAATATGGCATTCCAATATTTAACAAATATAAGTTTAGTTTTTAAAAGTTTTTTGAGGTGTCATATTTTATTCCATGAAAATCACCCATTTTAAGTGTACAATTCAATAACTTTTAGTATAGTTATAGTATAACCATCACCACAATAAGAATTTATTTTTAGCTTATTTTCTAATTTGAAATTTTCTATAGATGATTATTTTCAAGAGTAAATGATAAGGTCTGCAAGTCTAAGTAACTGAATTTTTATTGAGTTTTATTTGAGTAGCCAGAGGAGTTTCCTACACTGCTCTTTCAGATTCCTGTGTTTGGAGAGAAACACTGTGTCCAGATAATGTGGTTTATTATTCCAGTTCATCCTGTGGTTCCCCTGTTACTGGATGTCCCCCAAAATGAATGACTACTCAGTAGTCATTGTCCTCTCTAGGAGACCTGCATCTCATCATCACACATGGCAGCCCGTTAGCAAACATCTCCCAGCTTTCTCCCCCCTTCAGGTAGTTTTCCTACGTTTCCTCCTTAATTCCAAAGGCATAAAAGAAACTGTAAAACTGTCATTCTTGGAGTATGTGATATCTTGCTTCCCTACAATGTCATCAGTTTGGCTCAAATAAATGCATAAAAATTCTCTACCGATTCTGAATTTTCTTACATTGATAAAGGCATTCAATAAATATTGAATAGCTACTGTGTCCTATTTTAGACACTGACAACATAAGAGTAAACAAAAAATGACAAGGTCAAACAAATATTTGACAAATGAACATAATATACTAGTATAATGACCAGTAGTGATAAGTGCTATGGAGAAAATAAACCATTTAAAGGGATGGGGAGTTTGGGAATGCCATTTTAAGTGGCATGTGAAGGGAATCTTTCTGAAGCACTTGACAAGAGCCTTGAATATAAAGTACAAGAGTGAGCCCTGCAAAGGCCCAGAGGAGAGTATTGTCAGGTACAGAGTCCAGCAAATACAAAGCTCCCAAGGCCAGGCCAGCATGGCATGATCAAGGAAAAGCAAAGCCAGTGTGTGGGGCTAAGAGAGTGTGAGAGAGGATACAAATGGTGAGAGAGGGTGTCAGAGGCCATGGTGAGCACTTGGCATTTTTCTCTGAGAATATGGGAAGCCATTAGAGGGTTTTGAGCAGGGCAGTAATAGGATCTAATTAATAATTTTTTAAGGATCTATGTGTAGAATAGAATGTTGGCAGGGTGGACATGGCAGAGGGAGCCCAATTAGGAGTCTACTAAAGTATTAGATGAGAATTAAACTTAGGTAGTAGCAATGAAGATGGGATAAATGGTCAGACTTGAAAACACATATATCTCAGATTTGCTGATGAATTAAATAGAAAATTGTGGAGAACAAGATTAAAGGACTGTCCAAGATTTTGGCTTGAGCCAACGGAAGAGTGTCATTTAGTGAAATGGGGAACATGCAGGGATGAACCAACTTGAGGAAGGTGATATTTAAATTAAGATCACCTAAGAAGTGGGATATAGATAGAGAAATCCAAGGATTGAACACTGGGATGCTAAGAAAATGAAGAGGATTAGGCAAAAAAGAAAAAAAAAAAATGACTAAGAGAGGTAGGACAAGGTGGGGAGCTAGAGACCAAAGCAGGAATAAGGAGAGGTGTTTAAGGAAAAGGGAGTGATCAATTGCAGAAAGGTCAATTTCAGTAGTCCCCTTATCCACAGCTTCCCATTCTGTGGTTTCAGTTACCCAGGGGCAACCAAGGTCCAAAAATATTAAATGGAAAATTCCAGAAATAAACAATGCATACGTCATAAATGGCATGCCATTCCGAGTAGCATGGTAAAATCTCTTGCCATCCCAATCAGAATGTGAGTCGTCCCTTTGTGCAGTATCTCCATGCTGTATGTGCTTAGTTACTTAGTAGCAGTCTGGGTTATCAGATTGACTACTGTGGTATCCCAGCGCTTGTGTTCAAGTAACCCTTATTTGACTCTTACAATAATGCCCCCAAAGCACAATGAGTTATCCTCTGAATCTACTCTTTTCTCCTCTGCCACAGCCTCAGAGGAATCCACCATCATTATGCTTTCCCCATATCTATGCTTTTGTGTCCTCGGGGACAGCAAGAACTTAACAGCACTCCTAGTTCACATTTTCACACAGGGACATGAAAGCCCGAGATGAACACATGACGTGCTGATCAGAAGCCATGAAGGTCCAGTCCAGTGAGGCTGGAATGAGGAACTGGATCACTTGGTCTACAGGCCAGTGCACTTCCACCACTCTGTGCAACTGTGCAAGGCTGCAATCAGTCTACCCCTGGCATGTCTGGTTTCCCATCTCTAAAACCACCCTATCTGAGAGGGTGACTCTAAAGAGAAAGTGTCACCAAGTCATGGAAGGGTTTTGGACAAGGAAGAGAGATGTCCAGAAGCAGCGGGAAGAGAAGGTTTAGCATTTGTGCTCAAAAGTGTACTTTCTGGAACAAAAGTATACATTTGTACTCAAAAGTTCTAAAACAGTCTTTAGATCTTAGTTCTTGGTGGAAATCCCCTGTCCAGTTTGAGGTAGCTTACTTCCCCCATCTGTGTGAGAAAAAGCTGTTCCTTAAAAATAAAGCACAGCCTCTGAACCACGAGATGGTTTTGAAAGATAAGTCTGCGTTGGGCTGGTGGGCCACTTCCTCTCAGAAAAGGCAGGGGAGAAGGCCCCGAGGTTGAGGAAGGAGATAATGTTCAAAGACTTTCACTAGAAAACAGTATTACAAAGTGCCAGGGTAGAACCTACAGAACCACAGAGCAACTATACAAGTTGTACAAATTGGTACCAGAGTAGTGTGTGCACCTGGCTAGATTGGTTAACATGTCTTTGACAGAAACCCTATCTTGATCTTTTTAAAAAAACAAAAACTCCCAAAAGGTCATCTTATCTAAAAATGTTACAAAGTGAGTGTTGACTTTCTCTAAAATACATATTTAAGATCTAGATTGCAGTCAGACATAAATCCTTTTAGAAAGATTCTAAGAGCACTGATTTTACCAATAATAACAAAAGTGAAATGTTCAGAATCACATATGGAAAGTCAAATGAGTTATTTCCTTTTCTAGTTCTATCTGGTTTTTTATATTGGGTTCTATCTTTTTAAAGAAAAGGTGATGTTGAGTATCTCTTCATATATCTGTTGACCATCTGTATGTCCTCTTTGGAGAAATGTCTATTCAGGTTCTCTGCACATATATTTGGTTGGATTGTTTGATTTTTGATGTGGGGTTTGGGGGAGGCTTTTTTTTTTTTTTGGTGTTAAGTTGTATGAGTTCCTGACATATTTTTGATATTATCCCTTTATCAAATGTATTATTTGTGAGTATCTTCCCCCATTCAGTAGGTTGTCTTTTCATTTTGTTGATAGTTTCTTTCACTGTGCAAAAACTTTTCAGTTTGATGTAGCCCCATTTGTTTGTTTTTCCTTTCATTTCCCTTGCCTAAGGTGACATAACCAAAAATATATTGCTAAGAATGATGCAAAGAGCTTACTGCCTATGTTTTCTCCTAGGAGTTTTATAATTTCAGGTCTTACATTTAAGTCTTTAATCCATTTTTAGTTTATTTTTGTATATGGTGTAAGGAAGTGGTCTAATTTCATTTTCTGGCATGTATCTGTCCAGTTTTCCAACACCACTCATTGAAGATATTGTCTTTACCCCATTATACTAGTATATCCTTTGACATACATTACTTGACCATATAAGCAAGGATTTATTTCTGGACTCTATTCTCTTCCATTGAGCTACATACCTATTATGCCAATGCCATACTGTTTTGATTATTGTAGCTTTATAATATAGTGACCTCTTTCTCATAAAACTGTTAAAGAATAAAAATTAATTGAGTAAATTTGTCCATCCTGTTCTCTTTGCCTTCTGGCATCTATTTTCACTAGCCCCCTATCTCCATTTGGCCAACTGCTAGTAACATTTATGTCTAGAAGGAAGGTCTGATTGAGTCATTCTTTCCAGAGTTCCCTGCCTCAAAAGGTTTCACACACAAGCCCAACAACAATAAAATGTTAATGCAGCCAGATTGAAATTTTATCACACAACATCACTGATGTGCAAAGAAAATGTTGGAAATGAAACTCAAAATGACCAATTAAAGTATCTCACTCTCCTAACTTAAGACAGTCTCATTCCAGGTAATTGCTCCCTATTAGAGCTGTTTCTCTTCCTGTTTTGTCCTAAGAGATGGTATCTGGAAGGTGGTGCTTAGGTGACCTCATGGTGGCTCAGAGCCCGTGCTCTTCTCTGGATTGTCACAAACCTGTGCTGCAAGTATGCTAGTATGGTCTTGTCCTGGAGCTGCCAATCCCAAGGTGTGCTCCCCTGGGTCTCTTCCTCCCCCCACTCCTGTGGTTGACAGGAACTTTTCTTGCATCATATTTGCCTCCTTACCAAGATGAAATTTGTAAACACCTACTTCCCAGAGGCCTACCAGCAGAATGGCTAATGGACAACATAATTTCTAGGCTATACATGCACACATACAGTCACACACACAATCTTTGTCACATTACTTTGCTTTCCTTTTTCATTGTCCATTGTCTGAATAACACCTTTGGAAACCTTGTGGGAAAAGGATCCTGGAATTTGGGGTTATCCCAAATACTTTCTAAAGTCAAGCTCTTACAGATAATTTCTTATAATACTTCTACATATGGCTTTATTTCTCATTATACTTTACTAGTAGCCCTGTGCACGAATCCGTGCGCCAGTAGCTCTCCATCTGCTGCCCCGCCCTCCTGTAGCTCCCCCAACCCCCCTCATAGCTTGCTGCCCTGCCCCTCCTGTAGCTCTCTGCTGCCCGCTTGTAGGTCGCTGCCCCACCCTCCTGCTGGTCCATGATCCGGTCGTTATTCGGTCAGTCGTTATGTAACAACCATTTGCATATTACACCTTTATTATATAGGATTATACTCTCCCAACAATACCCCAGTAGAATGTTCGGGAATTTTCTGTTTTGCTTATTCCAGTAAGCCCAGTGTCTACAATAGTACATGGCACAGGGGAGGTGCTCAATAAATATTTGTTGAATGAGTGAAAGGCTGATCACATCTGCAGTGTAGGGATTTATCCAGTTCAACTCTCAGGAGCAGTCTTGATTCCCTTACCTCCAGGTGCATGCAGAGTGGCCCACAGAAATTCAGGTGCTGCCCTCAGCTTGGAGGTGGTAGTTGAAGCAATGGCTCGTGGTGAGGTATCTTGGGAAGAGCCAAGAAAGAGAACAAATGGGGGCCAAGAGCAGACCTAGAGCAGCAGTTCTCAAATTTTTAAATATCAGAATCCCTTTATATTTTAAAAATTGTTGAGGAACTCCAAGGAGTTCTCTTTATATGAGCATGTCAATATTTATTGCATTAAAATTCAAACAAAACTTAAAAATATTAATTTACTTAAAAATAGCAACAAAAAATACATTACATGTTAGCATAAATAACATTTTTATTTAAAATGCAGCCGTATTTTCTAAAACAAAAGTTAACAAGAGGAGTGGGATTTGCTTTTTTCAAATCTCTTGTGTCTGGCTTAATAGAAGGCAGCTGGATTCTCACATCAGCTTCTGCACTCAATCTGTGGAGATATGTTTTGGTTGAAAACATGTATTTGAAAAAGGGAGGATCCTGGGGACTCAAATGTACTCTGACCATAGGGAAAAAAGTTCTCTGACCACATTCTGAAAACTGCTGTCCTACAGCGACAGTTCTTACAGAGCCCCCAGCCCTCCAGAGACCCCAGGCCCTGATATTAGAACAGGATTCCTGTTTCTCACTCTTTCTACCTCCAACCTCTTTGCTTAGGATTGTGCAAGTCACCACTAACGGATGAAACAGCTGGTAGCCCTGAGCAGGAAAACTGGGTAAGTTCCTGAGGGAGTGTGCTGGTCTTGGGTAGAAGGGAGTGGACTAGCCCTCCTAGAGAGGGGCTGAGGGAAAGAAATCACATCATGCGTTTTCAGGAAGGAGAAGAGGTTACAAAGTTGAGGCACATTTATGAACAAACATGTCTCAGTGCCAGGGCTGCAAAAAGGAAACAAACAAAGAAGCTCAACCTGCTGGGGTGAGTCCAAGGAGCGGGTTCTCGGAGGGGGAGGAGCTGGTGCACATAATTATATCTCTACCTCTGCATCTCCTCAGGCCTAACTGGCAGGGTCGCAGCTTTGTCAACATCGAGAAACCGATGGAAAGATGGCAGAACCCACCAGGTGCAGCTCTAAGACTTGTACATTCTCAGCATGTTGGAGTGGCCTTGCTACCATGGTGGGAAGGCTTCAGGTAAACACCTGTTTATAAACCCTTCACCATGAGCCAGCACCACTACTAACACCTTCACTGTGTACCTGCTTTATAAGGGAAGGTACAGGCAGCCAACTGTCAGTAGCCCTGGCCTGGCCCCAGATAACACTCATCTTCCATCACAAGCGGCCCAGCTCTACCTGAAAAAGTGTACGTATATATAGACATGAGTGATCTCATGGTCATCAGTGAGTGGACTGTGTGCTGCTGTAATTAAAGGCAAGAGCCACACCCTTGAATCTTTTAATAAACAGATAACAAGTCCAAACTTTGTGCTTACAACTTCCCAATGCTATTTCTCAAATACTAAGGAGTAACTTACCATTTCTACTGCACTTAGTGACTGTGACATCTTTTGCATTATTGCTCTGTGTTGCTATTTAGGTGGCCTGGGACCACTATCTTGTTTAGCACAGTAATCTCCATGTTTCAAATAGCATGTGGTACCTAGAAAGCACTTTAATAGTTTTTAGTGAATGAATTCTGGTGGTCTTATTTAATATGTGCCAAAATCATGTGCTTTTCATATTATATCATTTAATTAAACAGTTCATGTAATGCTTATCTTCCCAAGAAAGTATACAAACTTTTTGAAAGCAAGGAAATGAATGCTTGTGGTTATTTTTAGACATTCTACACAGCACCCTATGTCAACCTACTTTATGGGAATGTTCCTCAAATTCATCTAAAAGACATGTTTTACAGTTTTAAAAGATATATCTATTTATCATATTGCTACAAGGTGGGACTGGCTTATTTTTTTTTCTTTTAACCCCCACTAATGGTTTTAGGGTAGAGAAAAGTATTAGTTTATGGTCTAATAATGGCCCCTATTATTCAGCAAAGGTCCCAGCTAAAAGGTGTATTTCACTATCTATTATGTAACAAAATTGGGCTACATATAAAAGTATGTGTTTAGCATACTAGGTCTCCACATCATTTCCAACCAGAAAAACTCTGCTTTTATCTGTTTACAATGTAAAGGGTGCCACAGATTTTTACCTAAGTCAGGGCAGCAATGCCCACCAAGGAAGATGTGGTATTTCAATGAAAACCTTGACAGACATTAAAATAGCAGATGAGTTCATTAATGGAGAGCCAGACAGAGAAATTTCCCACCTAGAAACAGAAGAATTCTATGTCTCTCCAAGAACTCACTTTACCTATTAGCTCAAAGGAAAAGTATAATAAGTGTTTTTTTTAATACAACAGCTTTACTGAAGTGAATTCACACTCCATAAAATTTACACTTTTAAAGTTTACAATTCAGTGGATTTTAGTATATTTATAGAATTATGTAACCATCATGTAATTTTAAAACATTTTTATCAAAACAAAAACTTAGTTTTTAATCCCCAAAAGAAACCCCATGCTCATTAGTAGTCACTCTCTATTTCCTATTTCCCCCCAGGCCTTGGTAACTACTAATCTACTTCTTTCTCTATTAATTTGCCTTTTCTGGACATTTAATATAAATGAAATTATACAATATGTGGACTTTTACATCTGGCTTCTTTCACTGAGCATGTTTTCTTTTTAAAAATATATTTTTATTGATTTCAGAGAGGGAGAGGGAGATAGAGACATCAATGATGAGAGAGAATCATTAACTGGCTGCCTCCTGCACACCCCCTACTGGGGATCAAGGCTGCAACCCCAGCATGTGCCCTTGACCGGAATCGAACCTGAGACCCTTCAGTCTACAGGCCAATGTTCTATCCATTGAGCCAAACCAGCCAGGGCTGAGCATAACGTTTTCAAGGTTCATCCACTTATTGCTTATATCAGTATTTTATTCCTTTTTACAGACAAACACTATTTCATTGTATGGATATGCCAAATCTTGTTTATCCATCCATTAATTGATGGACATTTGGCTATTATAAATAATGCTACTCTAAAACATTTATGCGTCAGTTTGTGTGTATAGATATGCTTTCAATTCTCTTGGTTGTGTACTTAGGTGTGGTATTGTTGGGTCATAAATAACTCTATGTTTAACAAGTTGAGGAATTGATAAACTGTTTTCCAAAGCAGCAGCACCATTTTTTGACCCCACCAGCAGTATATAAGAGCTCTGATTTCTCCACACCCTCACCAGCGCCTGCCATTCTCTTCTTTATTCTAGCAAGCCTAGTGAATGTGAAATGCTATCTCTTACTGGTTTTTATTTGCATTTCACTAATAACTAATGACGTTGAACATCTTTTCATGTACTGATTGACCACTTGTATATCTTCTTTGGAGAAATGTGTATTAAAATCCTTTGCCCATTTTTAAAGTGGGGTTATTTGTCTTTTTATTGTAGAGTTATAAGAGTTCTTTATACATTCTGGATATGAATGCCTTTTCAGATATGTAATTCACAAATAATTTCTCCATTCAGTGCATTGGGTTCTATCTTTAACTCTAAACCTTGGCAAATTATTTCATTTTTGTCATCTGGAAAATGAATGGGTTCAGAAGATTGCAGGATTTACAAATTAGGGTGCATGTACACTGGGAGCAGACATCTGTAACCCAGGAGTAGAAGACACCAAGGATTCATGTAGTTCATCTTCTAAAATGCCAATATTATTTAAAGATTTTAGGGTATGCAGAATCTTGATTTTTCCATGTGTGAAAATATAGAGAGAAGAAAAACTGTGCTGAGCAAACAGAAATGTTGACATTTTTAGAACCCGGTGGCATGGTATTGCAGTATGTCAAAGTAATCTGGGAGAGTGGACTTTAGAAAGATAAATTGTGCCTGATCATTGGAACCTGAGAGCTGAGCCTTCAAAGGCTTTTAAACGTTATTTTATGGCTTTTAACTTTTGATCACTTAAAAATCATTAACTCACAGCCTTGGCCAGTGTTTCTCAATGGTTAGAATGTCAGCCTTCACACCGAAAGGTTGCAGGTTCGCTCCCCACTCCTGGTAGGAGTGAATGCAGGGTGCATGCAGGAGGCACCCCTCCCTTCTTTCCACTCTCTCTGAAAAAGCAATGGGAAAAATATGCTTATGTGAGGATTAACAAAAAAAATTTTTTTTAATCATTAACTCACACAAATGAGCTTAACTTCCTGCTGCCATTATTTTTTTTTAATTTTATTTACTAGATTGTGTTTAGTTCCACTTCCTATCATGATCAGTTCCCTGAAAATACAAATAGGTTAAAGATCATGGTTTTCTTTATTGCTAGTATCATTTTTTTTTAATTTACTTCTCAGAGTAGAATAATTTTGTAAAACTAAATGTTCTACAGTGAACATTTAATCTACACCAAACATGAATAGGTAGTTAAAAACAGGAAGTTGAAGTAAAACAGTTAAAAGGAAAAAACAGGCAAAATAATAAGGGAATTTCAGAATAACCTGAAATGACAGACAGTTGAAACAAACATTGCATTGGTTGTCTGGGGCACCCCAAGATGAATTTGAGGGGACAGAAGATGATAATAAATACCACCTCTACAGCCACAACTACTGAATCATTAGGAAGGAGTATAGGTTATTCTCGGCTATTTATTTAAAATATGGGTTTTAACCTGTGGTTAATGTGCACAAAGCAAAACCTTATTTATTTTCTGCCCTAATACTTTAAATTTTCAATAGCCTTTTATATATTCTTTTCTTTTTTTAATAGCATCTTGATTTGTTTCATGAATGTACTATCCTCCTAATGGCCTGAGGCTATTAGAGGTTTTTAAAACCTTCCATTCTGTCCCCGAGTCCTGCAAATTCTTTTTATTCCTGTTTCTTTTGAGCCTCAAAAATCTGGTGATCCTTGCCTGACTGCAGACACTTTAGTATAGCAATAAGAATCTGATTGTAAGCTCTGTGTGCATGCATGTGTTATATTGGCTAGTGAGCATCAATATTGGTTGATATGGCCGGGTTATGTCTTAAAGAACCCTGGTGTCAGTATTTAACCTAATCACATTATATGCACTTGTTGTACATGTGAAGAATAACTGTAATATGTTTATTAGTTAAGCTAAAATATCACCTTTTTTTCTCCCCTGAAACTCAAAAAACTAATTATATCATTTTAGATATAACACTTATAGCAATGAGTCATATTTGGCTGCAAGTCATAATCAATATCTCAGAGAAAATTTGGCAAAACATCAACATCAAAACTTCATTTTGAGCTTCTCCTGTGAAGGTGGTTGTAGTTGTTCTTTAGCTGTGCATTTCAAACATTCTTTTGGCCTTTCTCTGTATGTTCAGGAATATTTTAAAATGACATAGCTCAGGGAATATCAGTTTTATCTTCTTGTACAAATCTTAAGTTTTTAAGGATAAAATAAGAACATGGTAAAGATAACTCAGGCAATGTTGATTTGATTGTTTTGTAAAAATCCTCAATCTTTCTGGATGTTATAAGGACATGGAAATGTTCTTTCTTAAGAAGAATTAAGAGAAAATCATCAGCCAAATCTCACTTTCATTTTTATGTTCTGGGGTTTTAAACTACCCCAAAAAAAAATCTCTACACAATTTTACTTGGGCTTGAAAATTATAATTACTTCTCTAAAACAAGTATTCATTTTGTAACCTGTTAACATCATACAGTAGAAAGAGCCCTAGTGGCTTAAATTCTACTTTATTATATCACTCTAAGTCCAAATACTGTAAAAATTGGAGGACTTCTTTTGAGTGGCTAAGTGGTTGAGCATCGACCCAGGCACCAAAAGGTCACCGGTTTGATTCCTGGTCACTGCACATACCAGACTGCAGGTTCGTCCCCAATACCAAACAGGAGGGATCCCCAGTTTCCATAGGTTATCTCACATCTCTTGGATTCCTGGAATTGCAGGGACAAAAAGAAGAATGCTTTAAACATTATGCAATGTACTGGGTTGGCCAAACTTCTCAAAGTAGTCCCTGAATTGGTCCTCAAACACTCCTTAGGTGCCTCACCCACGGGGGGTCATCATCATAGTCAGGTGCCACCCAGAGGAGTGTCCAGTAAGACAGTTCTGTTGAACCAGGATGATGGTGATGAATCATCTATTCTAGACCAATTAAAACTGCACCTGTTCTCTCTGGACTTTGAACTTTAGAAAACAGTAAGTTAATTGATAGTGACGGCGGAAGTGGAATACACAAAAGCACAAACAGAAACAGTGGTTGAGTCATAGCAATGACAGAGCATTACAGTAAGGATCAACAAATATCTGCTAAAGAGTCACAAAACAGAGCCAGCGCCTGCCTCAGAGCAGCAGCAGCACCGTGGCTGCCAAGGGTTTCTCTGGCCATTATTTCTCCCTCGGGTCTACAGCATGGGAAATATCTTTGCGAACCTCTTCAAGGGCCTTTTTGGCAAAAAGGAAATGCGCATTCTCATGGTGGGCCTGGACCGTGCTGGGAAGACCACCATCCTGTACAAACTGAAGCTGAATGAGGTCGTGGAAACCATGCCCACGATAGGTTTCAACGTGGAGACTGTGGAGTATAAGAACATCAGCTTCGTCGTGTGGGACGTACATAGCCAGAACAAGAGCCGGGTTTTTTGGAGCCAATACTGCCCAGGCAGACATGGCCTCATCTTTGTGGTTGACAGCACTGACCAAGAACGCATGGAAGAGGCCAGACAAGAGATGATGCGGATGATGACAGAGCTCAAGGATGTTGTCCTGCTAGTGCTTGCAAACAAGCAGGACCTCCCCAATGCCATGAGCACAGCTGAGATCACAGACAAGCTGGGCCTGCACTCTCTTGGAAGAGGCCAGACAAGAGATGATGCGGATGATGACAGAGCTCAAGGATGTTGTCCTGCTAGTGCTTGCAAACAAGCAGGACCTCCCCAATGCCATGAGCACAGCTGAGATCACAGACAAGCTGGGCCTGCACTCTCTGCACCACAGGAACTGGTACCTTCAGGCCACCTCTGCCATCACTGGGGCTGGGCTCTATGAGGGACTGGACTGGCTGGCCAATCAGTTCCAGAACCAGAACTGAGCCACACTCCTCTCTTCCCCCTCACTCCCTCCTCCACCCTTGCTTTCCTGTCCATGTGGCAGATGTATCCCTGTGGTGTGAGTGCCAGAAGCTGTCCCCATGGTTGGTCTCAGTGTGCTTCATCATGCTGTGCATGTGCAGATGCAGCCTACACCCGGGTTTTTATCTAAATAATTCTTGTTTCTGGTACTCACATGCAAGTAGGCCATTGGTATTTTAATGGGAAGTGCGTTGAATTTATAGATTGCTTTGGGTAGTATGGACATTTTAATGATGTTGATTCTACCAATCCATGAACACGGTATGTTCTTCCATCTGTTTATGTCTTCCTCTATCTCTTTTTTCAATGTCCTGTAGTTTTCTGAGTAGAGGTCTTTTACCTCTTTAGTTAAGTTTATTCCTAGGTATCTTAATTTTTTTGGTGCGATGGTAAATGGGATTGTTTTTCTAATCTCTCTTTCTGAAAGTTCACTATTGGTGTATAGAAATGCCTCAGATTTCTTGGGGTTAATTTTGTATCCTGCTACATTGCCAAATTCATGTATTAAGTCTAGTAGTTTTTTGATGGAGTCTCTAGGGTTTTGTATGTATAATATCATGTCGTCTGCAAATAAGGACAGTTTTACTTCCTCTTTTCCAATTTGGATGCCTTTTATTTCTTCTTCTTGCCTAATTGCAATGGCTAATACTTCCAGTACTATGTTGAACACGAGTGGTGAGAGTGGGCTGTCCATGTTTTTATACTGAACAAGAGTAAGAACATTTTTTCTATCAGGAGTTCATGAGCAAGTAAAAAACAACTTAATTATTTGGGGGTTCTTTTGTTTTTGAGAGACAAAACTTGCAATTAATTTGGCTTTAAAATTAAGAACATCAAAAATAAAACTTTACTAAACCATGGAAATAAATTTTCTTTTTAAATTGCCCCTTTTGGATTTTCATATTCCTGTCATTTCTCTCCAAATGAACCAGA